TGAATTACAGCTGTCTAAGCGAGAAGATATGAAAGCATGTACCAACTTTTCAGTATCAGATTGGGATAATGTGACCCAAATTGGCCAAGTCACCATGTGACCCAAATTGGCCAAGTCACCATGTGACCCAAATTGGCCGAGTCACCATATGACTCAAATTGGCCAAGTCGTCATATGACCAAAATTGGTCATGTGACCATATGACCCAAACTGGCCAAGTCATCATATGACCCTAATTGGCCAAGTAACCATATGACCCTATATGGCCAAGTGACCTTGTGACCCAAATTGGCCCCGTAACCATATGACCCAAACTGTCAAATTCTTTTATATGTCCGAAATTGGCCAAGTCACCATATGACCCTAATTGGCCAAGTGACTGTGTGACCCAAATTGGCCAAGTCACCATATGATCCTAATTAGTCAAGTGACCATATGACCCAAATTGGCCAAGTCACCATATAACCCTAATTGGCCAAGTTACCATATGACCCAAATTGGCCAAGTTACCCAAAATGTTTTAATGTTACCATGATATGACCGATGTGCAACCATTATGGTATGGGTAGATACTGGCAGACTCATGAAAATTGCATGGTAGTTTCTTTAATGGAGGATATTTAAACCATCGCTAAAGGTTACTAACTGTGATATCGAATTTGTAATTGATGAGTGGGTTTTAATACTAAATGTTTCAGCAATTAAGTAAAAGGCTTACTTCATTTTGAGCGGAAACTCACGAAAAGGTCATCATGCACTAAAGCACTAAATCAACAATTAATTTGACAATTGGGAAGCAGCAAAGCAGTGTTTTAGGTAGAAATCTTACGGTTCATTACCCTCTGAAAAAGAGATTAAACATAATGTAAAAACTGCACCAGAGATATTAAACGTCTTAGTCTGGTATTAAAGTGCATGTGACCATAAGATGCAATGATAGACAATTTAGTCACCCCAAGCATATGTATAATAACGATTAACCACGTGAAAAAAAAAAAACATGTGAAGGGGGCTCTTACAGCACAAGTTCAGGATGAAGTATGCTTTCAAGTAGACCTGTGTAAGTCATTCTAAAGATGAAAACAGACGTGAAATTTTTTTTTTATGGTGACCTATGGTTAATTTATGATGTAGGAATTACCACTGACAAGCAAAATAACATTGCATGAATAAATTCTTTAAGATTGCTGGATTCTGTTCCAATGCATTTAATTCACACAGGAAAATTTCATACCAATTTACAACTACTCAATGATGTATTATCAATTTATTGGCTTAAAATTGTTAAATCAGCTGATCATCAAATTTGCAGATAGGTAAAAAAAATTATTTGTGTAAAACATTTTTTAAAATGAGCAATGATGTTGTTGTTGTATATGTTGCATAGGACTTGAATCAAGCGTGACGAATGGTGCGCTTTAATTCATAGGGATATATGGTATTTTGCGTTAAAATCTGCCCACAATTATTCATTTTAATCAACAGTATGTGTGTCAATCTGTTTTTGAAGAAAAATGGTAAATTAATATGCATAAAATATTAGCATTTTAGCAGCAGTTACATATACCACAATGATAACATTTTTCCTTGATAGAAACCCATGAAAAATATTGTCGATTTGTAATATTTCTAGACACAAAAAAGTACCGGTACATTTATATATAAAGGAGATATATCCATTCCATTACATAGATAACAATGGAAAAATGCCCTGAAACAAACAAAACATGCTATTTTCACTCCAACGTTTTTCCCCGAACTGAGTACTGTCCCAAAATATTTTTATTCTATTTTCTTCATCCTCATGACATGAAATATGTAAAAATGAAGAAAACGACAATGATATTTCCTTTGTGTAGCATTCCACCATAGTTCTATCATTAATTGCAATTGTTACATTATTACAACAAATATTTATGATACAAGTTCAACTAATCACACTAAATTACAATTTGTTATAAAAAAAAGTGTCTAAATTATATAAATCTAACTGTTCAGCCATCTCAATTTTTTTGTGGAAATACTGATTAATCTTGCATCATTTATGAATTTCAGTTTTAGATGGTTTATTTGTGAAAAATATTGAAATTACGTTCTTTTTTGGCTAAGCTAAATAAACAAATTCAATTTCTAGTATTAACCCAATAAATTATTTTAGTATATAGTTACTCGGTAATATTTGGGTTTATCACATAATGATAAAGTTCAGAATAGATGTATACTAGTTGCGCCATGTACTAAAATGGTACTACATGTATATTATTTCATTGAATCTACTTGGTCCTATTTTTTTAGCAGTAAAGCAGAAGAAACAATTCCCTCTTTTCATCACAAATTCACAAAATAGTCTTGTTTATAGTCTGCACTTTCCTTCAGATAATTGGGACAATGATAGCCAATTTTTTTTAGTAAAAACTGAAAATTGACTCAAATTTGTTTCTATTGGCCCCAAAATTAGGGTTCATTTCCAGAAATATTGAAGAATATAAGAAAAAAGTGCAGAAAAATTTGGTGGTGAAAAGATTAACACATTGCCTGTTGAAAGCCTCTACTGATACCAATAATGAATGAGATAAAACATGTCAACAGGCAATACGTTAATTGTTTAATATATAAAACTTATTTTGCCTAGCAACCATTTTTTATATCACTGGCAAATCTACTACTCATTCACCATCCTCCACTTATCCTCCTATACACCAGTTTGAGAATTAAATAAACGAACACAAAGAAATAAAATACCAAAGAAGTTGATTAATTTCAAAAATATGATATACCAGTGAACCTAAAGTTAAAGGTTTATGCATGAATATACATGACATACCTTCCTGACTGTTATATTGAAACTCGTTGATTGATGAAAAATATTTTATGGTTGTAGAATTAATTGTACTGTTCAGTCTCATTTGCATAACTGAAAATAACAGCCTCATTTGCATAACTGAAAATAACAGTCTCATTTCCATAACTGAAAATAACAGCCTCATTTGCATAACTGAAAATAACAGCCTCATTTCCATATTAAACTGAAAATAACAGCCTCATTTGCATAACTGAAAATAACCACCTCATTTGCATAACAGAAAATACTCAATTCTGAATAATATTGAATCATACATAAACCCTGCAGATACATAATGGAAATATTGATAGCACCGAAGCATCTATCACAGTTTACGAGCAAGCTTAACATGTCATGGAGCTGACAGATAACATATAAACCGCTATAATTAGACATCTCCCTAAAACAGACTGATAATTGGTTCCACTACTGTAGTAGCATCAATCAGACTAGTGTCTAGACGAATAATATGTTATTATTCAACAAATGGTATAGCAAGACTGAATCACAGTGGTATTTTAGCTATCGGGAAAAGACACCATCTCATTTACATGTGGAGTGCCTTAAATCAAGCTGAGTATAAAATTGAAATCCCTATGCAGCTTTGAATGATATACACGACTGCAATGTTCATAAAATTGTTAAATATAGGAGATCAGCTTATATATGTACATGCAGGACGGCTGCCAGATATCGTAAAGTGTTTAAATAACTGTTTATTTAAATGTAACTGTAGGGTATTAATTGCTGAACAGGAAATTTAGCTTTACTCATAAACTTCTTTTATTTTTTAAGTTTTCCAAGTGATTATGCTGCTTTATACATTAATGGTTGTAATGTAAAAGCAGCCGGAACACACAGCATACCACACGCTTGTAAGAGGAACAGTTTTGCATTTAGTACAAAAAAAACGACAATGGTAAAATTACAAGTCTTAATCAAATACAGAAGCACAAAACACAATATCATAAAATAACTTCCATATACAAATTTTACTACAAAATCGGGAAGGGGCTCCTTCAGTCACACTACAGAGGTCAAAGCCATGACCCACCCGCAAGGTAGGTCAAGATCTTGTCCTTGATGGATCAAGGAGATCCTGCTGCGAAGCCGAGATAGATGGGAGGTGACCAAGAAGATGGCCGTCGAGCCCTGAAATACTATAAACCTTGATATCTGTCTGTTCTTCTACTCTCTGATCTGCAACATTCAAAGTTGTTTCTGCAGATGTGTGCATGTGCATTTCATTGTCATAAATGTTATCTCGTTCATATGGGACCCGGTTATCTATTGCAAGCATGGTGCGACAACCACCCCTTAACCTTTTCACCACCTGTTCCCTTTTTTCATCACAAATTCACAAAATAGTCCAATTTATAGTCTGTACTTTCCTCCAGAAGATTAGGACAAACATAGTCAAATTTTTCAAGTAAAAACTGAAAATTGTCTGTTGGCTCCAAAATTAGGGTTCATTTCCGAAGAATATATATATTGAAGAATATAAAAAAAAAAGTGCAGACAAATTTGGGTGAGAAATTCTGGTGGTGAAAAGATTAACCATTTCCAAGCTATTTTTACCAATTTAAGACTTTTTACCAACTTTCTGTCTCTTATAGAGGATGCTAACACTCTATTCAGAGGAAACACCTTGGCAACCAAATCAGTTGACCAGTTCATGAAAGTCATCGGAATGCCTTATTTACATGAAACACTAGCACCTGTCATTGATAAGATATTTGACGAACGAAAACTGGTGGAACTTGATCCGGATAAATTGGATCAACTCCGGAGGTAAGACTGTATAGGAGTGTGAGTTCGGTTAAATTTATATGATGACAACAACAACAACGATGCAATTGATGAAGCAAGAGTTTAATACACAAGAATGATGAATTTAGAAATATTTATTTATTGACATCTGAAACAAGAATGAAACGAGAAATTGACTATAAATGCATTTCAGAGCTCATGCATAACATGCAGGTAATTGTAGCATGACACCTGAGTTCAAAGGTCAGTTTTATTTCCACTGCAATGCTGTCAATAAATGGAAATAAATTTCACCCAGAGCATTTGTATGACCTTAATCTCGTACTGTACACACATTGTTAACTAGAGAAATAATATATTTCTTTACAAGGCCTGTATTAACTCACCCATGCTCTAAAAGTTCATATATTGACTCATTGCTTTATAATAACTTTATACTCACTTCTTTCCTGGAAAAAATGGGAATGTACACAAAACAAACAAAAAATAAGAAAACTATGGAATACAAATAATGTTATACTTTCTTTTTTTGGCCTCCAAAAATATGCCTCTACTTGCGAAGAGAAACGATGCCTAACAAGAATGAATCGTCTGGCTCAACCCTAATTTATAATCCCATCATGGGACCCCTCACTAAATCAAACATAACTATATGGACCTGTGTATTTATTATTTGATTTCAATTTCAAGACTCCTGCCTTGTATGGGCAATCAAATTAATTTACAAACCAAAAGTAGGTCATGTACTGCCTAACACTTACAAGCCTCAGTTAGATAAATTTTGTTTTTTGAGTACTTGTAGCTATTGAAAGACGAATCTTCTAAACCACTTCTGACTATTCTGCAATCAAAAATTAATTTGCAAATTTGGCAAAAAATTTAAACACAATATTTTAAGAGAAGCTAAATTGTTCGAGTTACGAACATCGAGTTACGAAAACATTGAGTTACAAAAATTACCTTGCCCATATTTTAGAAACCACACCCATTTTTGTGAAACCACACCCAAATTATAACTCAGTGTTCAATGGACAGTTAACAGAACTTTGAGTTCTGTATTTCCTGTAATTCAAACTTTAATTAACTGTTATTTGAAGTTCAAGTTACCCAATGGGTATGTTCAACAACAAAAATATATGTGTTGCCCGGAACTCGAAGTTCTGTTAACTGTTAATTAAACATCAAGTTGCAATTTGGGAATGGTTTCTAAAATATGAGCAGGGTCATGTTCGTAACTCAATGTTCGTAACTCGAACAATTCAGCATCTCCTTTTTTAATATACCAATGAGATTTGAATGAATACTATTGGCTTATTTACATAATAAAATGAACAACTTTTCACGTACATAAAAAGAGACTAGGTATAAATAATGTTCAGCTAAGTCAAGCTTTTATTGGACAGCTAGGTTTTAAATTTGTGATGAATCTCGTTTTTTTGCTCTTAGGAAACTGAGTGTGAAAACCATGAGTGCCAATCAAATGTTAGAACACAGTACAGCCACATTGACTTCATACCTGGTTTCTATCATTAACTGCATACTAATGTCTGTCGATCGATGTCCACCTGTCATGAGGCTTGCATTTAAGCAACTCAGAAAGCGCGTAGAAGACAGGTTTCCTGATCATGAACACGAGGTATGTAAAAAAACTATCACCCATCCCCCCTCACTAAATAATGGTTTGATCCATTGCAGATTGTTATGTACAGTATGTTCTAGCTACTTTAGTTGTAAGGTTGCTGTGGAGAGATTCACAGAGTGGTTTCCATGGTAATCTTTTGATGCTTTAAAAATTTTCATACCAAAGGTGTTGTCTTCATTTTTTTATAGTTTATAGTTTTTACAGTTACAGCGGAAACAATTTGGCATTTCATATAGATGTTTTAAAGGCTTCAAAAAAACCCCGCCAACATTGACGTATGTGAATAGAACAAAGTTGTCAATTAAGCTTCGAGTCTAGCAACAGAAATATATACCATATTTTGACAGAAAAAAAAAAGAATCAACATTACATCAGTTTTTGAGATAAAATGTTGAAATCCCTACAGAATAATATAAACACCAAAATCAAGAAATCAATTTTATTTTATATCAAAACCATCAAACCTATCAATAAACTATAATAATAATAATAATAATGACATTTCTGTTTTATTTTCTAGGATATCAAATATCTGTGTATCAGCGGGTTTTTATTTCTGAGATTTTTTGCACCAGCAATATTATCACCGAAACTATTTTCATTGCGAGAACAACATGCCGACAAATATGTCAGCCGCACACTAACACTGCTGGCCAAGGTGAGGAACATCTGCTTTCAAGTTAATTTAATCTTAATTTAATCAGACCCTGAGGCTTTTTGGAATCTATTTACGATAATTGATTTTGATTTAACACAATCACCGAAGGTTTTTTGGTGAAAACCTCAGGTGTGAAGTTATCTTGTAATATAAGTACAACCGTTGACATAGCATTCTGCTTCATGGGTGTCCTTATAATGATAGCTTGTAATCGTACACTGCCGTTTACAAGGTATAATGATTACGGCCGGGGATTACGACCGTGCAACTCTAACATAACTCAACTAATAACAAGTGACAGAGTTTTCCTCAAAGACTTATTTGGTCCAATCAGCTCAATAATGGGAAAAACATATTCTTAGTTTGTGAGCAAATTAAAGGTCTTAATGAGGTGCCCTGTGCTGGAAGTATAATCCAATCTGTCTGCATTGAATGCACTTTGTCAATTTTCAATAAAGTTTAAATGCTATGAAAATGGCTCTTTAATCTGAAAAAATACAAGGAGCCTTTATTCCAGAACATGGAATGCAGCT